TCTGCATCTGTCGCCTTTAACCCCAGTGGGCCTCAGCAGATGGCCGCTCACACTGAGCCTGGTTCTGCTGGAGGTTTCTTCCTGTTCAAAGGGAGTTTTTCCTCTCCACTGTCGCTACAAGCATGCTTAGTGTGAGGGATTGCTGTAAAGTCAGTGAATCGACTGGATGATCTGGTGAAATGTAAAATTGAGATGACGTGTTGTGAACTGGAGCTATAGAAATAAACTGAGTAGAATTGGTTCTGTGTGGTCTTCAGGCACGAGTTTGACTCGGAGCAGATCCCAGACCTGACCAAAGATGTCTACATCCAGGACATCCACTGTGTGGGCTCGCTGTGCAAGCTGTACTTCAGAGAGCTGCCCAACCCGCTGCTCACCTACCAGCTCTACGAGAAGTTCTCCGTAAGTCCTCCTGTGGCCTGCAGGCCGTCTGCCCCCCTTCCTCCACAGTCAGGCTCTCCTCGCTGCTCCTTCTTGGTCGTTTGGGGATTTTTACAGGCTGATGTCATCAGAGGCCTCAGGAACAGACGGGATATTAGCATGAAGACCCCACCCTGTCATTATGAGAGCACCACAGGGCCAGCTCAGTGTTTTCTGGTTGTCATGGCAGCGCAGGGGGAGATGGGATGTGGCTGGGAGCAGAAAATGTGTTGAATATTTATCTGTGTTTTCATGGTGAAGGACGCGGTTTCAGCAGCGACGGATGAAGAGCGGCTCATCAAAATCCATGACGTCATCCAGCAGCTCCCTCCGCCACATTACAGGTCAGTGTGGGAGAGCAGCGCCATCTGCTGGCAGTCAGCGAGCCGCTGGCACGCTCATCATCCTCTTCATCTTTGCAGGACCCTGGAGTTCCTCATGAGGCACCTGTCCCGCCTGGCAGCCTTCAGCTACGTCACCAACATGCACACCAAGAACCTGGCCATCGTCTGGGCGCCCAACCTGCTCAGGTACGGCCCGGCCCGGTACGGCCCGGTCCTGGGGGGTTCATGTCCATCTCAGAGCAGGGTGTCTCTTCAGGAAGCTTCATGCTCAGTGGTTAGATCTTATCTAAGGTCGTCAGACTTTGGTCTGAACGGATGTGACCCGACAGCCACCCGCCTGCAGGCGGCAGAACATCCACGCCTCGGCTGATGAGCAGCGGCAGCCCATGGATGCACGGCGTGATGAATAGTAGACGGCCGTTTGCTGCAGCCTTAAGAATCAGAACCATGACATAGAAGTCAGAATGACGTCAAAGAGCCTGGCGGCGTGAAAGTCTGACGGGTTTACTCTGCAGGGGGAACTTCTGAGCGAGACGCCAAAGAACCAGGTTCCAGTTTGATTCTGCGTCAAACGGACCGGGACCGGTTTTTATTTTCAGCCCAGAGAATCTGTTGATTATTTTTTGGATTAATCGATTAATAATCAGATAGCTAAAGGTTGATTAAAGATTTGTTGCTAAATTAATCCAGGTGAAACTAAAACATTTCTACTTGAGAAGTTCTGGATAAATCAGATTGATAGGAGACGTTTTTTTATCTTAAATTCAAAATATTTACATATTTTTTTTGTATAATTCCCGCTCTAAGTGAGTCGCTCTGTCAGCTAAAGGCAGGTTTTTATAATACAGTTAACAATTAATCGATTAATAAATTAGCTGATGATTATTTCAATAATGGATTAATCCGATGAATTGTTTCAGCCATAAATAGAACAGACTGAGCCCAGTGGTCTGAGCCTGCAGGGCCACCGTAGTTTTATTTGAAAAGGCTGACAGATACCAGGAAAATATCAGGATTCAGTTATTTTTATAATGTATCGTTAATATAATATATCGTTTTATTATTATAATGATCAAACAATAATTATTGACAAGAACCCAAATTATGTTCTAATAGAGGCACAAAAATATGTTTAAAACAATAATTTTAAAAAATCTATAGTCAGCCAGAGTATCTAAAAATAATGTTTAACATTTAGAATAAAAACTCCAACAAACGGATTTCATCAATCAGACCGAGCAGCGATGGACTCCTGCTGCATCTTTCTCCTTCTTTTCCTTCTTTGTCCTTCTGCCTCCTTCTTTTCGTTCTGCTCCTTCTTTTTCCTTCTTTCTCCTTCTTTCTCCTTCTGCTCCTGCACGTTTTTAGTGACTGAAAAACATGAAACATTCTGTGGATATTTGAGTTTAGTCCGTCTCATGTCTATCAGCATCTAGCTCATCTCTGGTACTGAGGTGGGGGGGTCAGAGGTCACAACAAACATGAAAAAAGAGACAACATCAAAACACAACTATAAAACAAAATGATGGTATCCTAGCAACACTGACCACAGAGGACCTCCTGTCTGAGGGGAAGCCCTGCAGGAAGTGACTGGATGTCTCTGAGGTGGGAGGGAAGCTTTGTTGTTCATTTGGACCCGGTTCTGGTTCTGGTTCATTAAATGTCCAGAATGCTGTCAGATCGGGTCAGAAGGAAGCTGCTCAAAGCTCTGCTTGGTTGTTTCAGGTCCAAACAGATCGAGTCGGCCTGCTTCAGCGGCACGGCGGCCTTCATGGAGGTACGGATTCAGTCTGTGGTGGTGGAGTTCATCCTCAACCACGTCGATGTCCTCTTCAGCGCCAAACTCAGCTCCCTGATAAGAGAGGGCACAGGTACACACACACACACACACACACACACACACTAATATTTATCACAACTACTTCCAATATATTCCCAACCCTAAATGGATTCCCTTCCTTGACGTTTAAAGTGGGGGGGCCACATTAGAACTAGCTACGGTCCCCAAAGGGCCCGCTGGTCCTCAGAGGGTTAGTGAATATACCAAAACCAGTCCTAATTATGATGCCTTATTAAGTATTCAGCCCCCTTCAACTTTTCTACAGTTTGCAACATTTCAGGCCTCCAACACAAAACTGAAAAATTGGGTGTGCAAAAAGTATTCATCCCCCTTGAATTAATACTGTGTGGCTCCATCTTTCGCTGCCATTACAGCTGCAGGTCTCGGGGGGTTTCTCAATCAGAGACCGACATTTTTCCTGCAAACAGCTGGAGCTCAGTGAGGTTGGATGGAGAAACATCTGTGAACAACAACGTTCAGCTCTTTCAGCAGATTCTCCATTGGATTCAGGTCTGGACTTTGACTAGGCCGGGAGTCATAATGGAGCAAAAAATCAGATCCGTCTGTAGTCTTATTTAAGCCTCCTAAGGGCTGTAAGTGTATATTAGCCCTCTATGAAAATGACTAAGTGGGCTTAATTACATAATAATAACAAGCATTGATGATTAAATGTTTATTTTCCCTGCAGCACATCCAAATGACACCATGTGACTAACCTGCTGGAAGATATTTGATGCTTTTAATTTTCCATTACAGAAATATTATTGCATCAGATTTTTAGTGTTATTTTTATTTTGAAAAGTTTAAAAAAGGATTATATGTGCATAATAGGACACTGTAATTTCAAACCTCCACATGGAAATAAAATGCAGTTGTCTTCAAACCAGAGTAACAATACAATCCTCTTTTTTTCTCTCCTTATTGGGGCAACAGTGCAATAAAATGCAGCCATAAACAGCAGGTTTTTCTTCCAGAATGTTCCTGTATTTGCCTCCATCCATCCTCCCATCAATTTGAACCATCGTCCCTGTCGCTGCTGCAGAAAAGCAGACCATGACCATGATGCTGCCACCACCATGTTTCACAGTGGGGATGGTGTGTTCAGGGTGTTGCTTTTATGCCATCTGAGCAGCGCTGCTTCTTCCTCATGTTTGCTGTGTCCCCCAGGAGGCTGTAGCAAACTTTGAACCAGAATTTTTATGGATGTCTCTCAGAAATGGTTGCCTTTCATAAAGGCCAGATGTTTGCAACATACTCCTGATTGTTGTCACACCTCAGCTGTGGATCTTTGCAGTTCGTGCAGAGAGATCATGGGCCTCTGGTCTGCATCTCTGATCCGTATATAAACAGGGCGTATACTTTACGAGGTTTTGCCCTTTTCGGGACGATTCTCCAGTCGTGCTAGAGTTTCTTGGATCGGGACGAGTTTCAGCCTGATTGTGCGTCGTGTAGAATACAGGGGGTAACGAGGGGCGATCAGCCTCTCATGACCACCTCCCGATCAGGAATCGTAAGGTCGGGAGAAAATCAAACATGTTTGAAGTCGGTCCTCCTGAGGTGTTGGTGGGTAAATCTTCCTGCTGAAGCAGAGCTATGAGCCGATTTATCAGTACCTCGCTCACTGCGCGTGTGCAAACAAGGAAGTTCTCCTTTTAGATTGACGAGTCCGACCAGCACAATCCCTTAGCGCTGGCTTTTGGACATACAGTGGTAGCAGGTAGATCGCATCAGCCCTCGGGCCGCACAGTGGAAAAACAAACATTGCAAGCTGGGAACTTTTAAACAGCAGTTTTATCGTACAGTTCGAGCTGCAGCTGCATGAAATGATTGAAAATTACATACAGGGTATTCCCGGCCTTTACTTTTCTCCCAACCTCTGATTCCAGGAGGTGGTCGTGAGAGCCTATTGGTATACTACACCAGGCAGGACGCACTGTGAGGCTGAAACTCGGCCTGGTCCAAGAAATTCTCACACAGCTGGAGAATCGTCCCGAAAGGGCAAAAACGTGGTTTTAGACAGTTGTAGAAAAGGTGCATTTATACGGAGACTTGATTCCACACAGGTGGATTATCATCATTAGTCATTAAGGTCAACATTGGATCATTACGAGACCCTCACTGAAGTTCTGGAGAGAGGGGGGTCGATACACATACATTTCCTGATTTCCTGCAATTTCTATACTTATGTCTGAAGCCTGAAATGTGGCAAAAGGTTGAAAAATTCAAGGGGTTTGAATACTTTTTGTAGGCACCGTAGGTAACATAACCACGTACACCAGAGCGAGTGTCTCTGCAATGAGGACTGGGTGTCTGAGTGACGCCATGGCTGCCGCTGATCGCTCTCTGTGGTCTCCAGGACACAACTCCTTATCTCGACCCAAATCGCTGCTGGTTTCTTCCCCTTCCACCAAACTCCTGAGCCTGGAGGAGGCCCAGGCGCGGACGCAGGCCCAGATCAACTCTCCTGTCACCGAGGACAGCAAGTACATCGAGGTGGGCGAAGGTCCGGCCGCCCTGCAGGGGAAGTTCCACACCGTCATCGAGTTTCCCACTGAGAGGTTTGTCCCGTTGGTCAGAATTTCTCGATGGATCCGCCTCTGGGCGAACCCTCGCCATCCTAACGCTCGTCCTCCTGCACAGGAAACGGCCGCCCATCAAGTCCAAAAAGTCTCCGGTTGGGAGTTGGCGCTCGTTCTTTAACCTGGGCAAATCGTCCTCCATGTCCAAACGTAAACTGCAGCGTAACCCCAGTGAGCCCAGTGAGCTGAAGGCCATGGCCCTCCCCGGTGAGTCTGAACCCACAGCCGCAGCCTGCCGGAGCCTACACCGTGCACTCACAGCCATGATGTCATGTTTCAGGAGGCCGGGGCGACACGGCCACGTTAAGGTCTGCTAAAAGCGAAGAGTCGCTCAGTTCGCTGCACAACGTTGAAGGTAATGGTTCCCTCCCTGCTACTGGAGGTCAGGTACATCGACCGTCTGCTTTGACTCCAGACAGGATGTGTAACGCTCATTTCTGTCCTCCTTCAGGGGAGTCCAAAGTGTACCGCCCTCGGCGTCCTCGCTCCAGCAGCGACGCCCTGTCAGCCTCCTTTAACGGGGAGCTGCTGGACGGCCGGCAGCACTGCAACTCCTACGACAACCTGGACAGGACGGATGACAGCGACGGGGACGACGGGCCCATATGTGTGCCCGCTCTGATCTCACCTCCTCGCTCGGCAGGCGAAGACGTGGACCTCAGCCCGCCGGACATCGGCATGGCCTCTCTGGACTTTGACCCCATGTCCTTCCAGTGCAGCGTCCCAGAAAGCAGCTACGCCGTCCCGTTGGACGAGTCTTCGCCCACTGCTGACGGCTCCTCGTTAAAGAGGAGCGCCAGCAGCAAAGGCTCTGAGCTCATCACAGCCTCCTTTCCCAGCAGCATGGCGGCTGCAGCAGAAAGCAGGACCCTGACCTCCTCCCTCTCCTGTACGGACAAACCCATGCAGGCTGTGTCTCCCATCAGATGTGGAAAGGCCGCCGGTTTTAGCCAGTTTGCCTCCTTAGAGCTGCTCTCTTCAGAGATCAGCGACGCTAAGCTAGCTGGACAGCCGTCGTCTCCTTCCTCGGCGCCAAATGGGTCGGCGCCGCTCAAGGTAGCAGAGCCATCGCTCAGCGAAGCTTTCCAACAGGAGCTGCACTCTAAGCTGGCGACCTTTGACCCTCTGGACAGAAGAGAGCTGGGGTCGGAGGAAGTGATGGAGGAGGGGCCATGTGGCGGCGGTGTCCAGGAGAACCGAGGTAAGGAGCAGATCTGCTTGTCTTCCTCCTTCCTCCCTGCTGTTCTCTGCCTTCCTTTAACTCAGCTGCACCTCTGTGTTCTCGGTAGGAGTCCTCGTCGAGTCGTCAAAGGAACCCCCCCCTCGCTCCCTCGGCTCTGCCCCTCCTCCACCCCCTAAAAACGCTGCCCGCATGTTGGCCCTTGCACTGGCGGAGTCGGCCCAGCAGGCTCCGCCTTGGTCCCCTGGGCCCCCCTCTGTTGTGTCCCCTGGGCCCCCCACTCGGGTGTCCCCTGTCCAACCACAGGACGTCTCAGACTGTCAGGACTCTTCATATCCACTGCATCTTCCTCAGCCTACCTCTGAGGAAGAGGAGGGAACCAGGCGTCCGGTCAGCACCATCAGCAGCACCTCTTCCGGCCCCTCAGCCCCCACCAGCACCGCCGCTCAGCCAGAGGCCGACTCCAGCCCCGCCGGCACTCCCCGCCGGCCCGGTTCCAACAACCGAACCTCTCCGACCAGAACTAGTCCTGAGAGGCAGGCCGCTGCTCCCTGCAGCTCGTCTGGCTCCACGACGCCACGGGGCAGCAGCAGAGGAGACCGACTGACCCAGCAGTCCGTCTGTGAGGTAACCATCGGCAACCTGGACCCCCAATCTGATCCAAGGGGTCTGACTGCAGAACCACAGCTGAGCTTTCAGTTTCTTTCCCTTTCTTTCGATCCGATGGAGGATCATTGTAAATCAACCAGATAGCAGCTTAGCTAACAGGCTTTGAAACACGCATAGAATCAGACTCTGATGGCGCCACCAGCTCTCAGTGTGGCCAGTTACCAGAACTTTGAATTTCCCTTTAGAGTCTTTAATCATTCCTAAAAATAATGCTGCGTTCACACCGCGTTTAGCCTGTCCGCAGCAGCCAGGGCTAACTTTAGTCCGTCTGTTGCAGCCAGGGCTAACTGTAGCCCGTCTGTAGCAGCCAGGGCTAACTGTAGCCCGTCTGT